CCACCAAATCCCTGAACAAGCCAAGCATGCACACTCCTGGGGCTTTTGCCTGGCTGTCCCTGACTGAAACCCTTTCCCTGGGATCCAAGTGGCTTGCTCTCACTTCCTTTAAGTCTCTACTCAAGTATATCCCAGACCACCCACCCTGGAGCTCCCCACCCTTTTCTTGACTGTTTTCTCTCCTGACACCTATTCATCTTGTTTATCTTCTGTCCATCTTGCTAGAATGTGAGTTCCACAAGGGAAGGGGTTCCACCTGCTTTGTTCACTACGGCAATGTAGCACCTAGGATGGTGCTTGGCATGAAGCAGGTGCTCCACCAACACTTGATGATTCCATCTAGTTTGATCACTTACTCTACAGATGCAAAATCTAGAACACTTATAGAATCAGAGAGACCTGCTCAAAGTTGTATAACCATGTTATACTGGGGGAGTACTGATTGAATTCTAGATCCCACAATTTTGCCCCGCTCTGGGGCTGCCTGGTTGTCATACAGCACTCACGACCTGTGCAAATGCACCCTGCCTGGGACCACACTGCAGACCCTGGGCATGCTGCCACTGTGTAAGGGCAGGACTCCAGGCATCCTCACTCCAAACCCCCCAAGGCTGGTTCTGCCCCAGATTTGTCTCAAAAGAAGTCTGAGTCAGGACTTCTCGGATCCACCCCTTAGTGCCTAGTCCTGGGCTGGACTCTCAGCAGTTCCAAATAAAAAATGGATACCCAGCCCATCTTGAGCCTCCCTCAGATAGCTGTCCTGCTGATGGGGCCCCTCCCTAACGTCCCCAAATCAGGGTACCTTGAGTTTCCGGGGCAGGCGGGGTCGTTTCTCCCGCTTGGGCCTCAGGGGGCTGGGCTCGGGCAGCTGCAGGGCCAGGTAGTCAGAAGGGAATGGGGGGTAAGGGGGAGAAGCCAGCTGCTGGTGGGAGTGGGGGATGGAGATGGGAAATGGAATGGGTCAGGGTGAGGGGTGAAGGGAAGAAATGCAAACAGGAGGAAGAATGGAAAAACAAAAGAGATGGTGATGAGTGTGGCTCCCAGGGCTCCTGAGAATAGAAGGGGAAGGGACAGCAGCAGGACTATGTCCTGGGATCTGCTCTCCTCAGTCATTCTGTCCCTTGTTCCTACACCAGAGAGAAAGTGGGCAGCCCCGACACTCCCTCCAGGGATGCTTGCTGGCCATACCCAGACAGATGTCCCCAGAGTTGGGGTGACTGTATGTGGAGGCCTGGCCCCTTTGCCCAAATGATGCCCACCTTATTCCCAGGCATCTTAGTCCACCACTTCCTACCCTTGACCCCAACTCACCGAGCTCAAGTATGGGGAGGGGGCTCCAGAGGCCTGAAGGGGAAACCCTGTTGAAGGAGGCAGGGAGAGACTGGAGGGGGAGGGAGCACCCCCCAGCGGAGGGCTTCTTTTCCTGGAGAAAAGACAGAGGAGGAAGTCAGAGGCAGCTGGGAGGCCCAGGTCCACCCCCCACCCCCATGGCTGCTTCTTACCTTTTGGGGGCTGGTGTGTCAGATAACTTAGGTGTTCCCTCTGTCTCGCTGTTCTCTGAAGATGCGGTGGCATCTGAGTCTGTGTAGGAGAAGAGCTGGTCAGTGGAGGCTGGGGGCTCACAGTCTACTTCAGAGGGCTGTACCCTCAACACTTTAGAAGGAAGCTGACACCCCAGCTGGCACACACATACGTACTATTCTGGGGAGACCCACAGCTTCCCCAGCTTTCACAATCTGTTTCCTACTCTGGCTTCTTCATAACACATTTGCCAAACATGTACTACGTGCCAGGCTCCTTTACACTTACCGCCTCTGGTCTTCATAACCATCACCTCCACTTTCCAGATGTCACTGAGGCTCAGAAAGTAAGGTATAGGACTGGGACTTGAATTAACTGTGATTCCTTGACTATTTTACGTAACTCCCTCCTATATGCCTCCAAGATGCCTTCAGCTCCTGCCTGCTCTACATTCCATATTCTGGGTCCTGTTAATCTAACCCTATCCCAATAAAACTGTCTTTTCTGTGTGTGTAGTCCTGGAGATCTAACCTAGGGCCACACTCATGCTAAGCTCATGTTCTACCACTAAACTATACACTTCAACTCCTAAAACTGTACTCTATCATTCTAACCTCTTTACTCAAAAATATAATTTTTTTGTGTTCAATACTTCTTCCTAGAAGACCCATCATTTACTTCAAAAGTGATGAATATGATATATGCAGTTGCTGATTTCTCTTCTTTTTTCTTTTTTTTTGGTGGTGGTTCTGGGAATTGAATCCCAAGCCTCATGCACATTAGACAAGCACTTTACTACTGAGCTACATCCCCAGCCCCTCAGACAAATCTTTTAAAATAGTGGATTCAAGTCAGGTAGAGTAGCATGGTCCTGTAATCTCAGCTTCTTGGGAGACTGAGGCAGGAGGATCTCAAGTTTAAGGCCAGCACGGGAATTTAGCAAGACCCCCGCTGAAAAACAAAACAAAATTAAAAAGGGCCAGGTATGTAGCTCAGTGATAGAGTATTTGCCTTGCATGTGCCAAATCCTGGGTTTGATCACTAATAAATACTCCCCCACCCTTTCACACAAAAGCAAGATTGAATGCCACCTTCTCTCAGAAGTCATCTAGAATCTCAGGCCCAGTTAATTGCTGGCTCTCAGAACCCTCTACTTTCACTTGTCATGGTTTTCCTCACACTCTGTGAGAAGTATCACGTATGGACATCTCCTTGAATAAACTTTGGGTTCCTTTAGAATAAAAGTAGAGGCTTACATCTCTGGCAAAGCTCCCCAGATTTAACCCCCTCTGATCATGAACATGCTGGGTTCTCTCACCGCCCCATCCTGAAGTTTCAGGAAATTACTGAAAGACTTTAGGGTGGGGAGAAGCACAGAATGAGGAGCTAAAATAAAGCCAAACTTTTTGTCATGACCTACGTACGCTGGTCCCTGCCTACTTCTAACTTTATCTACAATTTTCCTATAGTAGTAAATGAATAACGGGTGTTGTATGGTCCAACAGAATATTATTTTACAGCTTTTTCAAATTCTGGGTTTCAATCCACTAGTGGTCATGAAGTTTGCAACCAGCGTCAAAAGTAGTCTAAAAAACAGGGTTGAACTACATATAGTGATATTAAAAATGTTTTGTTAAATTTGATTGTATAAGTGTATATGTGAAGATTTGATCAAAATGTAAAATATATTAACAGTATTGTAACATTGTTAATTGTTAATACTAAAAACAATATGAAAAACAATGCCCTATACTCTTCATCCCTGTTACTCAGACAAGCCTGGCTGGTTCTTACCTTAGGGCCCCTATATTTGTTATTCTGCCTAGGAAGCTCTAACCCTATACTCAGAAAATTGGCTGCTGCTTCTTTTCTTTTTTTGTTAGTGGGGATTGAATCCAGGGGCACTTTACCACTGAGCTACCACCAGTCCTTTTTCTTTCTTTCTTTTTTTAAAGACAGTGTCTTACTAAGTTGTTTAGGGACTCACTAAGTTGCTAAGTCAACCCTGGAACTTGTGATCCTCCTGCCTCAGTCTCCCAAGTCACTAGTATTACAGGTATGTGCCACAGTGCCTGGCGGGCTTTTAGATTTTTAAGTGATTGAAAAAGCCAAAGAAAAATCATACTTCATGTGGAAACTAAATGAAATTCACTTTTCAGTGTCCATAAAGTTTTATCAAAACACAGCCAAATATGTCAATACTGGCTGAGGCTGCTTTCACACCAGCTGAGTAACTGCTTAAAGAAAGCATATTCCACAAAGTCTAAAACATTTACTATCTGAGCCTTGACCAAAAAAAAAAAAAGTCTACTCTTGTTCTACTTAAATCACCACTTCACCACTGCATTATCCTGTTTTTTATCTAAATCCTTATTGCTAACTAAAATTCTAGTTCATTTCCTCTCGACTAGAATAAAAGTTACAAGAGACCACGTGCTTTGTCCGTCTTTGCTACTGTTATATTTCTTGTGCCAAGCACAGAGCTTGAAACACAGTAGATGCTCCATAAGTACTTGAATGAAAGAATGGTAGAGGTGGAGGCTTAAGAACCATTGGAGGCTGCATCAGTTTCCAATGCCTAAGAAGATGGACCCAGGAAGACTTGCTTAAGTGCCAAAAGCCACGTCTACCTCCAGTTTTTCATGACCTTACTCACCAGAGGAGTCTTCATCCACGTTCTCATATTGCAGAAGTCGGTCTAGGAGAAAACTGAGGGAAGAAGTGGGAAGGAGAGTGTTTATTCCCATCTCAGCAATATTCTCCCGACCCTCCTAGAGGGTCCAAAGGATTCTACTAAGAGCCCATGCATTTGTGGTCCTACTCCAGGATGGGGCCACATGGTGGATCCCTAGGAGTCACACTGCCCTCGTCCCTGCAACTTGCCTCACCTCTTGTCCCGAGAAACCTTCAGTAATTTCCTCTGCGCCTTCCTCAGCTCCTCCTGGAAGCACTCGTGTTCCTGTATCACGAGCAGGGCGGGCGCTGATCAAGAGCGGTCGATAAAGGGGCCGGGAACCCGAAGACAGCTCGCCCCACCCCCTTTACACATGGGTAAACTGAGGTCCTCTCAGCGCCAGGCCTCGCACTCCGCAACCTCCCACACCAGCACTCACGTAGATGAGAAATTTGAGCTTCCGCTTCAGATTACGATATTTCTTTTTGTAGTCCACTTCACCGTCTGCCGGCCCGTTCATGACCCGCCCCAGAGCAGCACCCCAGTGTCGGGCGTCCAGCTACGGCGAGCCGGGTCCTTCGGGTCTCTCGCGCCCCCACTTCCGGAGACTCTGCAAAGCAGTACCTTCTCGGACTACTACTCCCGGCGTGCCCCGCGCGCAGGCAGCGTGTCCGCACGGACCGCCCTCCTGGGGAACACCGGGAAAGGAACGCGGCTTCTAGTGGCTGCGCTGAAGATGGCGTAGCAGCGGCGCGATAACGTCATAAAGATGGCGGACGCTGGAGGGCGCCGTTACTGATTCTAAATGTGCTTAGGGTTTTGGAGCCAGGAAAAGATCTCCCCCAGAGATTCCTAGTCTCTTGGGGAGTATGCTTTTTTTCTTCTGACCTTCATAATAACAGAGGTCTAGTCGGTGTCCGCGGCCACGGTGGAAGGGATCGTCGCGAGTTGATTACGTTACAACCAAACGCTGTCGGCGCCGAATCGGTTTCTAACAAGAACTTTATAAATGATTAATTCAAACCAAGGGTAGGAGTCGCGAGACCCTTCAATTTCTCAGAGAAAACAAGTTTTGTGTGCCAAAGTTCTCTGCCCCAGCGGTCTGTCACCGAAGTTCAACCGGCACCTGGTCTTAAGGTGCCGCGGCACTGCGCGTGCGCGAGCTACTGTCAAACGCGCTGACCAAGGCGGACAGGAAAAAAGGCGGGAGCCGCCAATCCCAAGTGGAGCAAAATGGCGCAAGAAAATGAGATGCAGGAGTTCACGCGGAGTTTCTTCCGAGGCCGACCTGACCTCAGGTGCACTAGGGACAGGAGTTGGGGTTGGAAAGGGCAGGGGTGGAGCGGGGACTGCGCCTTGACACTTGTCTCCATAGCACGCTCACGCACTCCATCGTGCGGCGGAAGTTCTTGGCTCAAGTGGGCCGCAATCATCTGAAACCCGAAGAGAAGCAGGTGCTGAAGAGGCTGGTGGAGGAAGAGCTGCTGAAGATGCAGGTGAGGGCACAGGCATAGGCCACCAGAGGTGGGGTTTATTGCCCGGGTGGGGCGGGACACAACCTTAGTACTTTTTGCTCTCGAGGTGGATGAAGCTGGTTCTAGGGAAGAGAAGCTAGACCTTACCAAAAAGGTGAAGAGGCCTCCCACCCCCTGCAGTGACCCAGACAGCAAAAGGTTCCGCTTCAATTCAGAGTCAGGTTAGTGCCTCTTCCCTCCTATCTGTGCCTTCTGCATCACTGGTTCATTCAAAAGGTATTTATTTGTTGGGCTGGGCTGGGCTGTGGCTCAGTGGTAGAGCTCTTGCCTAGCACGCGTGAGGCACTGGGTTCAATTCTCAGTACCACATATAAATAAATAAATAAAAGTCCATCGACAATTTAAAAAATGTTATTTTTTTAAAAAGGTATTTGTTGTATATTATGTCCCAAGGCATTATATGGGCCCAGGCATCTGGAACCAGAAATTGGGATGGAATGATGGCTGTTTCCTACTGCCCTTCCATCTATCAGAGCAGGGCCGAAGGTAACCAATCCCAAATGGAGGGAAAATGGACAGGAGAAACCTATACCAACCCTCTTTTCTCTCCACATTGCAGAATCCAGCTCTGCAGCCTCCAGTCCTGACTCCTTTGGATCCCCAACAAAGAATGGGACGGCAGCAGCAGAAGTCAGCCCAGCCAAGGAAGAGAAGGGTCCAAGTCAAGCCTTAAAGAAAGTGGTTGAGAGCAGTGATGAGGAACAGCAAGGAGACCTGACTGCAAATATGGGAATAGAGAACAGTGAGGAGGAAGAGGGTTCTGTCAGAACCAGTAAGGTTTGGAAGGAAGGGAGCAGTGAGGAAGATGAGAAAAAAGAATACAAGGGAAGGACTAGGAAGAAACCTGGGATCAAGAACAAACAGGCATCAGGCAAGGCCTCAGCCAGGAAGAAGCAGGCCAGAGAAGAAAGGGAGGACAGTGAGGAAGAACCTGTCCAGAGAATAGCAAAGAAGGCAGGGGGAAATAGAGGGGCTCCAAGCCACCAGGAAAATGAAAAGGAGAGTGAGGAGGAAGAGATTGTGGCCAAGAAAGAGAGCAGGGAGGAGAAGGAGGTGGAGGAGGAGGAATGGAAGCCTGGAGCCAGAGGCAATGGAGGGGAAAGATCAGCTTGGGAGGGGAGAAGCTGTAAGCAGAAAAGCAGGGCAGGGAGGCAAACGAAAGACTGGGAGGACAGCGGGGATGAGAAAGAGGCAGTGGACAGTGGGGAGGACAGTGGGGAGGATGAGGAGCCTCTAGTGCATTGGAAGAGCAAGGACAGGACCCAGTGTAAGGGTGGTCAGAGTCAGAGCGGAAGCAATGAGGATGGAGAAGACAGAGGGAAGGTGCAATCACCTGCCCAACTGGGCAGTGTCAACGGTGAGGAGAGTGACTTGGAGAGGGAAGTGAGTGACAGCGAGGCAGGAGAGAGCCCCAAGGGGGAAAGGAAAAACCGCTCATCTAAGAAGAGCTCCAAGAAAGGCAGGACACGAAACTCTTCTTCCTCCTCGGATGGAAGTCCAGATCCTAAAGGCAGGAAGGTGAGGGAACAGCTGAGGCAGGAGGCCACCACTAATAAAGAGGGAGACTCTGACTTCAGGGTAGCAGGCTTGGTCTTCAGGTACTCTTTCCTTGATAGGCTACCTCTGGTCGCCGTGGAGAGGACCACCCAGCTGTGATGAGGCTAAAACGCTACATCCGGGCCTGCGGTGCTCATCGAAACTATAAGAAGCTGCTGGGCTCCTGTCGCTCACACAAGGAGCGTCTGAGTGTCCTCCGGGCTGAGCTGGAAGCCCTGGGAATGAAGGGTGAGGCAGTGCGTGCCCTGGGAGGTACAAGGGGGTCTGGCTGCTGGGGAGAAAGAGACACAAGCTTTTTTTGTCCCAGGTAACCCTTCCTTAGAGAAGTGTAGGGCCCTGAAGGAACAGCGGGAAGAGGCAGCAGAGGTAGCTTCCCTGGATGTTTCCAACATCATCAGTAGTTCAGGTGAGTCTTCTTCTCCAAGCCACCAGGAAAATGAAAAGGAAAGTGAGGAGGAAGAGTGAGGAGGAGCAGATGGGGTTGGATTTCCACAGACAACTAATCTTCCGTCCCTGACCCTGGCCCTCAGGCCGGCCACGCAGACGTACAGCCTGGAACCCTTCAGGAGAAGCAGTCCCACCAGGGGAGCTATACCGCAGAACACTGGACTCAGAGGAGGAGCGGCCCCGTCAGGCACCCCCAGACTGGTCACATATGCGTGGCATCATCAGCAGTGATGCAGAGAGTAACTAAGCTTCCCTGTCCCCCAGGAGGAACCCTTTCTATGTGTACAAAGTGTGTGTGGCACCTCCTACTCTAAACCTGCACAGACCAGGACCAGAGAAGACTGCAGCCCCCATGGACATAAGTTGTTCAGACACTACTTCTCAGCTTCACATTCTCGGTTTAAAGTGTTTACAGGGGTTTATTTTTAAAAGACTCAATAAAGGAATGTTTGTAATTACCATTAGAACCTGTCCCCCACTTTTACTCCCTATATCTTAAGAACAGAAAGCTGGGGGGCGGGCAGTACTATTAGTAACCAGGGGTCTAGCTCCCTTTCATTTCTCCCAGGTTCCCCAAAGTCATCCCAGCCTCTAGACTCTTTCACCCGAAGTCTGCTACCAGGCCATATCTGAGAAGTGTTTGTCTTAGCCTTCCTCCAACCTGTTGGTGGACCCCTCTGGTGACCCTGCTTTTAGCTAGATCTGGTAATGCCCACTTGGGAGAAAGATGGCCTTAAGAATATAAAGCACAGCTGGGCACAGCAGGGCCCACCTATAATTCCAACAACCCAGGAGGCTGAGGCTGGATTGCAAGTTCTAGGCCAGCCTCCACAACTTGGCAAGATCCTAACTCAAAATAAAAAAAAAATGAAAAGGGCTGAGGATATAGCTCAGGTACAAAGTCCCAGGTTTCAACCCCCAGTACCCCCACTCCCCCCAAAAAAGGATGTGAAGCACAAATGGATTTGGGGACAGTTGGTGTTTATGCCTTCCACTTCACAGGCACTTTTTCCAGGAGCTGATTCTGTCAGCCTTAAAGGGGTGGGTACAGGACTTAGACCTGACTGATCAGTGAGGGCCCTGCAGGCATCTGTCAGAAGTCTCCTTGTTGAGGCTGCTAAAAGTAAGATATAAAAGTGTGAGCTGCCAGGGGTATGTGTGAAGTGGGGCTTTCTGAGAATTTTTGCCAAAGGAAAGCAGAGAATGGTGACATCCCTTGAAATCCTGGATCCAGTCATTAAAATCACTGGAATTTTGCTGGGCGTAGTGGTGCACACCTGTAATCCCAGTGACTCAGGAGGCTGAGGTAGGAGGATCACAAGTTCCAGGTCAGTCTCACCAACTTAGTGAGATCCTGTTTCAAAATAAAAAAATTAAAAGGTCTGGATATGTAGCTTAGTGATGATGTGCCCCTAGGTTCAATCTTCAGTACCATAATCAATCAATCAAATTAATTAATTAATTAATGGGATTTAGTTACACAGCCCAATAAATTTTCTTTCTGGTGCTGGGGACTGAACCCAGGGCCTTGTGCATGCGAGGCAAGTAATCTACCAACTGAGCTATATCCCCAGCCCATAAATTTTCTTTTAAAATACAAGTTAACTGGTGGACATGATGGTGCATGCCTGTAATCCCAGTGTGAACTCAAGAGGCTGAGACAGGAGAATTGCAAGTTCAATGCCAGCCTCAGCAATTTAGCAAGACCCTTAAGCAATTTATCAAGACCCTGTCTCAAATAAAAAGGGCTGTGGATGTGGCTCAGTGGTTAAGTGCCACTGGGTTCAATTCCTGGTATCAAAATAAATAAATTACAAGTTAACACTATCAGTTGCCTCTGAACAGGCCTTCTCACGCAACTAAGACAGAAAGGGTGAGTCCTGGGATCTGTTAGAATAACCAACAGTTTATTAAAAGCTTGCCCTGGGGCTCTGTGCCAGCCCCACAGCTGAGAGGGGCTCCCATGACTGCCCCCAGGCCCAGGAGCAGCCCTTTTCAAGGTCCTTCCCTTGTTCCCCCGCCCCAGCCCTGACCCCAATTAAAAAAAAAAAAAAAAAACAGGACAAGACGGCACAGGACGTCAGACAGCAACGGGGGAATGGAGAGACCCAGGCATCCTGACCCCAAGACCCCATCTTGATCCTTCTTTCCAAGGAAGGCCTTGCCTCCTATTCTCCCCGCTTCGGGTCCCAGACCCACTCTGCCACTTCCCAGGTCTGGGGGCCCTGTCGTCCCCAGTCCATGGCCCCATTGCAAGGGTAGTATAGTTCTCTGAATATAATATATCTAGACCCACCCTTCCCCTCCCCCAGGGGACTAGATGAATATTTGACACGCACATCTCCCTCCTTTCCCAGGCGGTGATGGAGGGAGACCCTGGCACCATGGTGGGGAAGCAGGGTTCCCGGTCAGCCTTGGGGCACTGATACCCAAGCTGGCCTGGGGCCACTGGCCAGCCCCAAGAAGCTCATGAGATGAGGAGGTTTGAGGGGAGCTGGAGCCAACATCATGTCCCCACCACCCTTGGGTGGGCCTCAAGCTTACTGCCTGCCAGGATCAGGCTCTGCCCACCCCTGCCCTTGCCCCACTCCTCTGCTCATTCACTCTGCACTTCAGGAGTAGAAGTGGGAGGAACCGTTGAGGATGTGGGAAGCAACACTGGTGCTGCGACTCAGAGGACCAGGCACTGCCGCAGCAGGGGGGCCCACGTTCTCACTGCCACTGCCCCCTGAGGCTGCCCGCCGCAAGGGCTGGGGGCTGTTTCTTAGCAGCAGCAGGGCTCCACCACGGGGTGTTCCACTCTGTGTTGGGGGCCCCAGCCAGTTTGGGGGACCTGGAGGAGCCAGTAGCGACGGCTGACGCCAGGCTGGCGGGGGCATGCCTGGTGGAGGAGGGCCATGGCTCCAGTGTGCCCCTGAGCGAGGAACTGGGCGGGAGGGCCAGGCAGGGGCAGGGGGTGGAGCTGGATAGCCCTGGGCAGCAGCCTCAGCTGGGATGCCCCCCAGAGCCATACTGGAGAAGCCCAGCCTCATGCTCTCAGCATCGAAGGCCTCGATCTCACGGGCCTGCCGCTCGAGCAAACTCCGGATTCGCTCGGAGCGCCCTGTCTGCAGGGCCAGCAGCTCTTCTTCCACCTGGGGCACCCAGAACAGGGGTTAGAGTCCCAGAGTAGGGAGCCTGCCCTCCCTACCGCATCCTGGAGGCCAAGCCCCTTACCCGTTGCTCCAGCAATGCCCGCCTCAGAGCTACTCTCTGCTCCAGTTCCCGCAGCTCCCTCTCATGCTGGCTCTCTGTGCGGATCTTGATCTTACTCTGGTAAGCATTGAGCAGCTCCAGCTCCTGTTGAAGCTGCTGCCGAAGAGCCTGGAACTCTGCCTCTTGGGTCTCATCAAGCCGGAGCTGGAGGATAGGGAGAACGAGTTTTAGGGACCTCCTCTCCCACCCCCAAAATCCTCCCCTGCCCCAGGTAGGCCTGGGCCCTAAGGTTGCAAGAAGCAGCGGTCTCAACATCTATCAAAATGGAAGATGGTCATACCCTGTGCACAGCAATTACACTTGCAGGAATCTATCCCCCAGGTATACTTGCACATGTGCTCGAGATGTTCACGGAAGCGTTGTGATAGCAAAATACTGGAAACAACCTAAATGTCCACCAATAAGGGATGGGTTAAATAAATTATGGTACAGCCATACCATGGAAAATTCTACACTGTAAAAAAAAAAAAAAAAAAAAAAAAGAGATGTGTACTGACATGGAAAGACGTCCAAGAAATATTAAGTGGACAAAAGAGGTTAGAGAACTGTATGTAAATTGATTCCATTTGGTTAAAGTATGTATATAATTTTCCAAAAATGCATTGGAAAAAATCTAAATACACTTAATCATTAATAAGTTATCTCTGAGAGGTGGGACTGGGTGACAGAATGGGGCACCGATTCTTTGCACTTCATGTGCGTTTTAAGCAGCCCCACTCCAGTGTTGTGTGGGGTCAGTTTTTAGAACAGCAACCTTCCAAAACTGAAGTTTGACTAATTGGCCTGAGGGCCACACTCATGGTAAATTGCTCCTTGTGTACACATTAAATTAATTCAGGCCCAGGAAAAAATCAGAGCCATTTTCCTTGGTGGTTCTTGGTAGAGTAGGCAGGATGGCTTTGTTAAGACCTTAAGAAAATACTAAAAGAAATAAAACCATTGAGAAGAATATGAAATAACATAAACCATTGTTAGTGGAGTTTACAAACAGTAAACTTACAAACCTAAGAGTATCCAGGTTTCCCATGTACACAAAGCCCCAGCTCTGTTTACACCTCCTACCTTCCATTGCCCATAACTAAGCTGGAAATAGGCCAGCCTCTACTGTGCTCCCTCCCAGGCCCCCAGGCCTCACCGCCTGTGAGCTGAGCATCTCTGAGATGGACTGGTCATACTGCTCGGCCAAGATCGCCAGCTTTCGGGTCTGTTCTTCCTTGAGCCGCTTAAGGAGGCTCTTGTGCTGAGCTTTGGGCGTAGTCTCCAGCAAGTGTGCCCGCAGAGCCTTGTACTGCCGAGTCTGGATCTTACACGTCTCCTGGAACTGCTTCTTGATCTGCAGCTCCTTAGACTGTGCAGTGGATGGATCAAGGGGAAATGGGGACAGGGAGAGGGGAGAGGAGGAGAAAAAGGAGGAATAACCAGGGGAAAGGGGGAGAAGAGAAGGAGGAGAGGAGACAGAAGCAGAGACAGGGAGAGGGAGAGAAACAGAAAACATGTTAGACAGAGGGGGCGGGGGGAGCTGTATACAGACAGACATGGAGAGATGGGATTGTATTGAGAGAAATCAGGAAGGTCTCAACGGGCAAGAGATGTGGAGAAAACAAGACAGGTTTCAAGAGCTCGTCCAGAGTTGGGTGGAAACCAAGAGGAATGTCAGAGTTCGCAGACAGGGAATCTTTAGAGGACTGAGTGCACAAAAGCAGCTTTGACCATGCAGAGGGAGAAAATGTGACTTTGGGACAGCTTGTGAGCAAATACAAGAATGTGCAAAGGAATGAGACTGAGTAACATAAAACACCCACAGGAGATGGCAACACAACTAAGAACAGACAGGAGGTCCCAGGTCCAGCACCTCAAGAGAGAAGGAAGGAAAGGAGAAGCACTGAGCGGAGAAATGGATAGAAGGGACTGGGACTACTCCGTTTTGAGCCACAGAAGGGAAAGGGAGATGACCAGAAAGGGCCTGACAAGTTCAACAGGCCAGCAGCTGCCACCTGACCAGATCCACATTCCAGCCCAGCCCCTATGCATTCAGGTCCCATTCCAAGCCCACAACCAATCCCAGTCCCAGAGCCCACACAGCTCTGCCTGGCCCCTCGGCTCACCACCCTCAACTGTGGAGGGTTTCCAGCACCATCCCCCAGCCCTCTAGGCTAATGCCCGATGCAGGAGAGAGATGCAGCTCCCGAACAGAAGGGAACATG